GGGCGCGGGGCGCGGGGAGGCCCGACGCTGCAGGATCTCATCTCTGAGCGCCTGTGCCCGCTCCTGCCGGGGACCCGGTACAAAGCTGAGGCGCCCTGCGGTGTCAGCCCTTAGCTTAGCGGGTGTACGTAGCTGTTTCCCCCGAGGTGGCCGACCCGGGCAGGGCGGTGAGGCCGGAGGGATCTTTGCAGCTGCAGCTGTTGTGTACGTGTGCCTGAAGGATGGCTTCTCAAGCTCTCCCGTGTCTTGCAGAACTTCGAAACAGCGGTAAGGGAGAATGTTACCATTAATGGGCAGCCCTGGGAGGAGACTTCGGACGACTCCGAGCTGCAGAGTGGTATGTGTTGGTTTCCATTCATTTTCTGCTGGGTGGTCTTATTTTGGTTTCTGCATGTGGTATTTCCCCCCAGCTATCTGTGGCAGTAAGGGTGCTCATGGAGCAGGTAAGGTCGAACTCCAGCTCAGATGTGCTCATGTAAAGACCTGAAGTGCTGCACTGCGGGAGCTCAATTCTTACAGAGCAGTGTTCATAAACAAAAAGAAAGGTAACCAAGAGGTGTAGGGACCTCTATCCAAGAGAAAAGGGAAGGGGAAAGTGCTTTATCTGAAGGATCGTTGCTTGTTTGACACTTCTGTCAAGATCCTTATAGATCTTGAGGCACAAGTTCCTTATAGATCTTGAGGCACAAGTTCCAGCTATTGTTAGTATGATGCCTACATAACTTAAAGTATCTGATATTAACATGGGAAAAAGTAGAAGTTTAACAAAGCTTAATGGCAGCTGTCTTGCTGGAAAGTCTACAGCAAGCTTTTAGAAAGTCAGTATTTCAAAGCGAGATTCTTCGTTCAGGAGGTTAGGAAAGAGAATGTTCTATTTCATCAGCTTCTCTTATCAGAATAAAGGGAACATACAAAATTTAATGGAATAGGGTAAGGTGATTTATTTTTAAAGCTAGAACACAGCCATAGGATCCAAGTCTGGAGGCTTCCTGCCCTCTCTGGGCAGTTTCTGTGTTTGACTGACCTGATGATGAAAAACTCCTTTCCAGTGGCCTGTTGGGATCTCCTTTACTGTAATGTATCTGTTGCCTCTCATCTTTTGGCTGCACACCTCTGAGAAGAGCCTGCCTCTGTCCTCTCTAGAACCACCCTTTAGGTAGCTGAGGGTAGCAGTTAAATTACTCCCTAGCCTTCTGTTCTCCAGGCTGAACAAACCCGGCTCCCTCAGCTGCTTGTTATACATCATGTGCTCCAGATGCCAGCCCTCTTGCTGTTCCATTGGAATTGCTCCAGGACTCAAATGACACAGTCTCCCAGAGCATCCAAGCTAGGATGTTATGGTCTAGGTAGGTGAGAGTTGTGGCTGGATGGTAAATCTCAGAGGGTAGTGTTTAATGGTTCATGCTTTTACCTCGGGGCTGATTACAAGCAGAGTTCCTCAGGTGTCTGTTCTGGGACCTGTTCTTGTTAATGGCTTTATCCATGACTTGGAGGAGAAGATGGAAGGTGCCTTCACCCAATTTGCAGCTCACATCAACTAGGGTGGGATGCAGTGAATATGCTCAAGGGCAGGGCCATTCAGTGGAACATAAACAGGTTGGAGAAATGCATCTGGGAATCTCATGAAATTCAGCAAGGACAAAAAGCCAAGCCCTAAACCTGGGAAAGGGTAACCCCCCGCAGAAGTGCAGGATGAAAAGGACCTGAGGGTCCTGGCGGGCTAACCATGAGCCAGCCTAGTATATTGTGTCAACAGAAGTGTACAGTGTCAACAGAAAGTGATTATTTGGCTTTACTCTGCACCTGCTAGAGCACATCTGGAGTAGTGCACTCAGTTTTGGACCCCCCCCAAGTACAGGAAAGTTGATAAACTGGAGTGAGTTCATCAGAGGCTGCCAGGATGGCCAGAGGACTGAAGCACTTGCCCTGCGAGTTCAGACTGAGAGACCTAGCTTGTTTAGCCCAGAGAAGACAAGCCAGCTTTCCAGTGCCTCCTGTAAGGGAGGTTACTGAGAAAGTGGAATCAGGCTGTTTATTGAGGTGTGCAGTGAGGGAACCAGAGGCAGGGGTCATATTGAAAGGGGAGGTTCTGACTTGATGTAAGGAGGTTAAAAATCACTATTAGGATAACTGAGCGTTGGAAAAGAGCTTGTGTCGTCTGCAGCGCTGGAGGCTTCCAAGAACCAACTGGACAAAAGTGTCCTGAGCAACCTGGTTTGAACTGGGTGTTGACTTTGCTGTGAGCGGGGGGCTTGAGAGCCCTCCTGAGGGCTCTTCCAGCCTCAGTGATCTTGTGTTGGGGACATTGGCCCAGATCTCTTCCTATCCAGAGACCCTAATATTTTGTCTGTTGCTACTATTTAATATACAAATGTTTAAAACTATTGCTATATAATCATATATTTATATGTAGTATATACAATATGTTTATAGTGATTGGTTTTTAAATAATAGTAGTGGAGATTCTTGCTAGTCTGGTGTCCAAAGAAAATTTCAGTGTGATTCATTTGCTCACTTGAGTTAGATGTTCTTTGCCTGCAACCTGGTGCTTTTTACAGTTGTACAAAGCTAAAAATACAGATATATTGAACTGGCTGAGGAGAAAGAGCTCTTTGAACTGTTTTTTGGTCAGGAAGCTTCTGCAGTTTTAGTTCTAGGATGATAAAACTCCAGCTCCTTTGACTACAAGGTCAAAAATGCACTGGTCTCGCAATACAAAATGCTGAACTGATTCAGGCTCACTTCGCAATTAAAATTTGTTCAAAAATTCTTAACAGGAAAACTTTGTCTAGATGGATGTTATTTTCAGTAAGTTATCCTTTGTCTGTACAAGTCTAACTTTATGCCAGCTAAGAGGCTGTCATCTTCCTGCAGCTGGCATAAAGCAGGTGTAAGTACTGTATTGTGCTTTTTAATTTTATATAAATTTATTTATGTGCCTATCTCTGATCCAGTTTGAATCACCAAGTGATCTGGCATTTTGTGCCTTCAGTGTTTGTGTTGACCAGTGGCTCAAATCTTTCCTCTCTACACTTAAATGATTTCATGGTGATCCTCAAACAAAGAAAACAAACACACAGATTCTTAAAACCTTGATTTTTGCCTTTCTGAAGTTTACAATCACCTGATTCTGCACAGATTGACCAAGAGAGGGTGCTCAAAAACCGTTCTGTAGCACTAGATTGAAAACATTGCAGAGCTTGCAAGGTGTGCTCCACATGTTAGTGGGAACAGTGAATTTAAATGCTAAGGAGTTTGAAAAGTTTAATTAAAAAATAAAAAAGCAAGACTATTGTCAATGTTTTGGATCTCCACTGGAGGAGAAAAATGATAGGAGTGTGCGGATGGAAGAATATAGAAATGTGCACTACCTTTCAGTTACAGTTAGAATATAAGATTGAGTAGTTAATTCTGTTTTCTTCTGTAACTCTTGATTTTTTATAGTTTGTAATGATGGCATGTGATGTCAGGAAAGTGCAGACATTTACGTGTCTAAATTTTGAAACCAGTTTTAAAATAGTATCTTAAGCTTTTAAAATTGTTAAGTTTAATTGCAATCTTGGAGAAGCTAAGTACCTTTAGTAGGGTAGCAGTAGTAAAAACACCAGTTGACAGCTGAAAATATGTTTTAGGTATTTAGTCTAATCTTATGATTGGAAAAGCAAGCTATGAAAGTTAGCTCCTACCACGTACAGTCTCTTGGGCCTCAGATGTTGAAAGCAGACATGTTTTGGTTTTTGCAAACTTGTTATAACTAGTAATTACAGGTGTTGTCAGGATGTAGAGTATTTCCAGGAACTGTGTTTTGTTAAGGTGGCATTGTATATTGTCATGTTAAACTGCATGTTTGTGTTCTATATGATATAAAATCAGTTATGCTTCAAATTACTGTTTGGATAGTTGCTGTTTACTTAATGCTTGTAAATTACACAGATAAACCATTTTTCTTGCTGCATCTTGCATTGCTTTTCTTCAATTGAAAAAAAAAGTTATCTCGAAAGATAGCCATTTCTTTGTGAGACTTTCTTCATAGATTCCGAGTTCATAGAGAAATACGTATTTGAATTTTTTCCCCAGCTGGTTCTCCACCTCCTCCCACCCCCCAGCTCATGTACTTCAAAAGTAGCTGGCCAACATCAAGTTATACTCCAGTTTCTGTATCGCCTTAACAAGGAAATTCAAGACATATATTTATCTCTTCATTGATAATCACACATGATTTCTTATTTCAGATCTAAAGCTTTTTTTTTTTCCTTATAACGTTGTCTCAAATGAAAAAAAAATTGTAGGAGAATTCCTACAATAACTTTGTGTGTTTGTCATTTTTAGGTTCCAACATTAAAATTCTTGAAGATCAGTTTGATGAACTAATAGTGGAGACAGCAACAAAGCGTAAGCAGTGGCCTAAAAAGATACTGATGCATTATATCCAAACCATGAAAGCTGAGCAAGAGATGTTGGTGAGTAACCTAAGATTTTCAGAAAACCTTTGCATTTAATAGCTGCTGACTGTGTGTAACTTGAAGAAATAAATAATCCAATGTTGACCTTTAAGCTCCTTCCTATTGTTGCTTTTGATTCTTTGTCATATAATGAAATTGGTTTTTTGCATTAATTGGCTCTTCAGTAAAATGAGGGTTACTACAGATTGTTGTGACTATGAGTGAATTGGGCCTGTGGCATAGCTCAGCAAGTTACTTAAGCAGATGGCTTTAGCATGATGACTCATGATTTACAAGCCAGTATACACCTATTTATCTTGTCAAATCCAGGTTTCTGAAATCCTTGGCTGAAGGATGGTTGAAGTACTGAATGTATTGATACATACAGATAGATATCACCATGTGCAGTATATGACTGTTAAAAAGATGTCTGTGTTTTCCTAAGCACTTTTCTTGAGCTATTAACTACATGGAGTAAGTACTTTCAGTAAAGAAAGGGAAAAAAAAAAAGTAAGTGGATTAATGAATAGGTGCAGTAATTTCTCTGTGGTTTTTTTTTTTTTTTTTTGATACTGAGTGTAAAGTAATTACTGACATTAAATAACCCGGTCATGTCCTTGATTGCTAAATTTATTTTCTGCAATTACAGTAGGCCTGCCTTTTGCTTACCTGCTGATTAATTGGGAGTTGATTTCCTTTGGAAAAAAAAAGGACAAGATGCAGTGGGCACAAGTGGAAATACAGGAGATTCCATTTAACTATTTAAAAGCAAAACAAAACAAACTGTGGCGGTAGCCAAACACTGGCACAGGGTGCCTAGTAAGACTGTGGAGTCTCCATCCTTGGAGATACCCATGGAGATACTCAAAACCTGACTGGATGAGGCCCTGAGCAACCTGCTGTAGTTGGCCCTGCTTTCAGTAGGGGGTTGGACTAGACCATCTTTAGTGGCCCTTTCCAACCTCAGCTATTCTATGGTTCTATACTAAAGAAGACAGGGATTTATTTTTTTTTCAGACAGTTGTTTAAAAGCCTGCATTGCATTTCTGAGGACTGAAATTCACAGGCGTCACTCTCTAGGTTAGCCAGGTGTACATGATTTCAGTAAGTAAAAGTGCACGGATACATATTTGCCTTAAACATGAGATATTTTCTAACATATTGCTTTCTGTGATTTCTCTGGTTTATCAATATATCAAGTATGTAAAACAAACAAAAAAGATCAACTAAAATAAAATATACTATTGCATAACACCAAGATTTAACAAGATCTTTTAATCTTTCTGCAAAAGGAAAACTATGTTTTACCTGAGTCCCAAAGTGGATTAGATATTTAGAATGCCTGTCGTGCTACCTTTTTTCTGTTGCTGATCTTCTCAAATTTTATACCACCACACCTAGATGATTATTTTAATTAAAAGTGTCTGCAAAATGTAGAAAGTTTTTAGTTTATGTCTGTAAATGAAGTGGCTTTTTTTTCCTTCTTGGCTACTTCTGCGAAGGTATTAGTGGTTTCTCTGCTTCTGGTTAAGGAATTTTTATGTTCCTTTTTGACCCTAGCTGCTCCTGTGATGCATGTTTTCTGAGGCATAAAGGACAACTCTAAAGACACGGTATATCAGGAGGAAACAACTCATTTAGTGTGGTGATCTCCCTATAATTGCCAAAGCAAGAGGTCATCCTGTAGGTTTTCAGTCAATACGTTCTGTTATGTTTGAGGATAATGCAGGCAATTTTTCTTCTTTTGCTTGGAGCTGTTACTGTACACTTGCTAAGAAGATGTGTGAACTGTGAAAGAAGTGCCCTGGTAAAACTACAGGGAGCAATAATTAACCTTCCTCCTACTTTTGATTGAAGAAGGCTGAGGGACAGCTCCTGAAGTGGAGAAAAACACTAACTTGCAGATGATATAAATTATGTTCCCATGTCTTTGCTTTGTTTCCTTCTTCCCTGGTAGTTACTTCTAATTCCACCTTTAATATAACTAAATATTAGTTGTATTCATTGTTTATTATTGGTTAACTTCATGTCACAGTTTGATGTCAAGTCACAAGGCTTACAGTAGGACCAAAAAGTCAGAGAGCCTGGCTTGTGAAGGAGAGTGTTCTTACTTATGCGTAAGTAATTGCAGGGCTAGAATGTAGTCGTTTAAATAGTTTTCTTTTTCTTAGCTTTTGAGTTTGCTCCTCTGTGAAAGCGTACTAGTTTTGTGAGCAGCTGTTTAGAAGCCAGAGCAGCTCTTTTTCCTCAGTTGTGCAGCAGGTGGCAATGCCTCTTCCAGAATGCCTGGATTTCAGTTTAGTTCTCATGCTTTAATAATTAGAATTCTGCAAACTAAAGCAGATTTTGGAGACATGTTTGCAGTGAACTTAACTGTGTTAACCAGAGCACTATTTCCAGTAACTGGGTGTCTATAAGCTGTACCTCTAGTCCATTCTTTTTCTAAATAATTCTGCCACCATCTCCTTGTATTAGACTTTCTCCATGGTTATGACTGCTATGTGTGTATTAGGTATCTATTAAACCAACAGGGTCTTCCAAAATTTTATTTTTTTTTTTCCCCGAATACGCAGAAGCTTTACCAGCCTGTCGTAACACCAGAAGAGATAAGATCACAGCCTTCTCAAGGTAAAGATTTCATGGTGGGGGTAACTGTACTGAGGAAGCACTGCCTACCTTACTGGCTAGCTGTAAATGCTTAAGAAGTTTTCTTTCTTTAAACTTGTTTAAAATTATTGACTGTTTAAATAATTAACTAAAATAGCGAGGAGTTTGTCGTAACTGAATTTATTGCTGCATCAGTTTATTGTGTCCGTTTCTCTTATTCTAAGTGCTGTCTGCTGTTAGGTGCTGTACTTAAAGGCAAAAGGTGGCCACTCTGTGTGTATTGGGTAGAAATTGTCACAGAGCTACCCTCAGCAGGTTTTCTTACTTCTTTCCTTCACCACTGGTGGAGGCCAGATGGGGAACTAGATGGATCGCTGACATTATACTTTGACTGCTCTTGTGTTCCTTTTACATGAATACTAGAAATGCTTCAGTCTCTCTTCCTGATCAGTGAGTTTCTTCAGGGAATTGAAAGCAGTTGTGTAGTACTCGGTGATGGCAGTGTTGACTCTCCTAACTTGCAAAATAGGCACCAAATTTTATCCTGCCTGTGTCATTTGTATGGGCTGATGAAGAAACAAATTGCAAACAACGTCACAGGTTTGCTACATGCTTTTGAAAGATTCCTTCTACAAACACCTTGGAACAAGACGGTGTGTTTTGCAGTTGGTTATTGGGATGTGCTATTTTGAGGCTGGCCTGAAGAAGTTGAAAATTTTGTCTTGCCTGTTCTTAAGTATTCACAAATTACAGAATTTACCAATGCTGTTCTAAGTTGAAAAGCATGGTTACTGAACCCTCACTATGGATTACTGCACTTGATGGAAAGGTGGTGTAACAAGCAGTGGTGTTAAAGTTTGAGAAGCTGAGTTTGCTCTTCCAGTTCTCACCCTGCTGATCTGACTTCACTGTAGGCATCGTTTCCTCTTTGTAAACAGGAGACATTACTTCCAGAAATGCCAGCCTGGGCAGCAAAGGAGCTAACAGGAGCAGTAAAGAGTGTCACTTCATATCTGGGTTTCTTTTGGTTTCTAGTGTCCAGATCCATGCTTTTCTGATGTGAATCAACTACTTCTTATAAGTTAGTAACAGCTTGCACTACGGTATTGCCTTTTTAGGTTTGGTAACGGCAAAGTCCTAGCCAAGATAGCACAGAGTTTGTGCTGAATTTTAGTATTATGTAGTCTTTGGGAAGTTTATGTATCCCAGTTTAGCACATACAGTGGCCAGAAACCAAAAATGTTTAGATTACTCAATACCTTTCATTTCCTTTTTTCATTTCCCTATGTTTTGGAAAGCCTTGAACACTGAGGAATATAATGCTGTCCATGTCAAGCTGAACTCCTGCAGGCAAATTTCATTTAATTGTGTGTCAGTCTTTCTGTATAACGAATAATCCAATGTTTTTTACTTTTAACTCCTTCCTTGCCATTTCATAGGGTCACCAGTCTTCTAATCCCAATACTGTACTGTAAGAATGCTTCATTGTGGACATACCCTTCTTTCAGAGACTGCCTGTTCATAGGCCTCTGTGGTGTGTTTAAAGAGGCTGCTGTTGGACTGTTTTTCCTTCCAGACTCTGAATGATGGTGCCTTTTAGCATCCATGTTCATACATTGATTATGCGTTCCTAAACCATGTCTGATCAGCACATTGGGCACGTGGACAGACAGTTTAACAAAACACCGTCTCTTCCTGCTTACTATGTTTCAGCGGGTCATCGCTGTCACCCTGTGCTGGAATACAGTGATTGACTTAAATTATTTTCAGTAGCACTAATGAGGTTGACTTCAAAGCAGAATGCTGTTTTTAAGCCTGAAAGGCTTTAGGGGGGTGTGTACCATCTGACATTGTATCCTACTGCAGGCACTGGTGAAACCCTACAGAAAAATAACAGTAGTGGAGGTGAGGCTGCTTAGTTCCCAGGAGCACGCTTGCTTATCTGCTGATGTTAAGTTTTTGTTGATGGCATAACATTGCAGACAGAATGGCGGAGAACATGCAAAACAGTTTTATAATAACTTAAAGAGTTTAACTCTGGAGTAAAGAAGTATTATTGCTTGTAAAGCAATTGTCAAAAACATATATTGTGTTGATGACCTTGCCATATTGCTACTGCAATCAAGTATATGCCATTGTTCCCCAGTATTCTGCACCTGCTGCCTGCCTCAGTGTTCCTGAAAGCTGCTTTTTCCTTTCTTTTCTTATTAACCCAGTAGAATTAATGCAGTTCATGTTGTTTACGCTTGTTTCTTTTTTATTCTTCGTGTTAATGCCTGGTAAATTAAAGCAGGAGAAAAATGTAGCCTTTATGGTAGAAGCTGACTTCTTGGAGCTGTAAGATTTTTTTTTTTTTTCCCCTCCTTAAAACGACGTTCCTTCATCACATTTTCTCCACAGTTGTCTTTATTCTCCTTCTTTTCTGCATTTTTATCAAATGTAATATGAGCTTGAAAGGTTTGAAAACAGGTTTATTTTTTTCTTTATAACTGTTCTCTTCCCTTATGTCAAATACTGTCTCTGTCTCTCATCTTTTGTGTACGCTGTACGTTTTCCAGTGAAGAACTTGGCAGCTTGCTATGGTTGAGACTGCTAGACACTACTACATTTTGAGTGAGAAAGAGTAATAATAGTAAGATAAAACATTCATTATACCATTGAGGATGACAGCTTGTAAGGGATGTGTTGTAGGTTTACCTTTCATAGAGTGACTCTACTGCTTTTCTGTCCGATTTCTAAGAAGTCGATAGCAAGTACTGGGGGGAGGGAGTTACATTTCAGAAGTTTATTTGGGCTTTATGTTTTTCTGTAGATGCTTACATCGCAGATCTGAAGCAGATGACAGAAATGGCATCCAAACAGATCAGTGGAGCAATGAAGGTGAGATCTCTGCGTGCTCCAAGAGAATATTTTTATTTTCTTGATCTGATAACATGTCACAAAACAGGAGTTCTTACTCATTGTGGTAGTAGTTTTGTAGAAAAAAGCCTGCATGTGTACTTTTGAAGCAAGTACATCTTTAGGTTTGGATTGCTGAAGTTGTGTCTGTAAACTGTTCCCCCTCACATGGTAGTAAGGAAAATTACCCTGTGGCTGTAGGAAATATTTTTACAGAGATTTTAGAACCTGCAGCATCTGAAAAATAAAACATCTTTTGAAGACCTGTACAACTTCATATAGCATGTGACATTTATTACTTCAGTACCAGCTTAGGCATAAATTGTGGTGATCTTGTGATACTTACTGAGCTTAGAGATGTAATGAAGGACCCATTAAACTCAGCATACTCTTTCCATGGCTTCTGAGTGCAGATCCTTGTCACTGTTAGGCTGGTAGCTCTCAGTTCCCAACCTTCATCTGCCATCCTAAGGATCATCTCTGCAGACACTGAAGCTTTTGTGCCTTGTCAGAATCTAATTAACATATTTCATGCATTGTAACCATTACTTTTCCCGTGTAACTTGAGATACTTGGGTTTGTTTTTGCAGTCTCTCCCAGTGCTAATAGAAAGAGCAGAAGGTTTTTCCGAAGCGTTAACTTGGCAACCAACTTTGGAACTCTGCAAGCTGCGGCAAGAAGTCTTTGCTGGTTGCAAGGTGAAGGAGGAAAACAGCGTCCAAAATTCCATATCACCAGGAGAAGTCACACCAACAGACACTGATACCAGTAAAAGTCCTTATGTTTTGCTAAAAAGAAAAAAAGCTGCAGATTCACCAGAAGGAAGACGTTACCCACTTCGACGGAGGAAGATTACTCTCAGTGCCTGAATTTCTCATTTAGTATTTTCAGATTGGAATCTCAGCTGTACTCTTGTTCAGTGAGCTCAGTCTTTTTTTTCTTAAAGCTTCGTCTCCCCTCTAATTCAGTGCTATACATGGGAGCTTCCTGAAGTATTTAGTCTTTGATCCTTTTAAATATTTCGATTTTTACTGTCGCGCTAATGGTATATGGAAGCCTACACGTACCAGTAGCATCCAATATCCAGCAAGTATATTTGTCGATTAACTCTCATTTTTTGCTGTGTTATTACAGCATTTAGCTTCAGTCCTCATGCTTCTTTGAGTTTGTGCACATGCTTTATGTATGTGGACAGTCTTTTAGTAAACCACTAAGTGCTCGTTTACATTAAGCATGTTTCTGAAGAGGTTGGAGAACATCTAGTTCTCCTAACGCACCTTCATTTATTACTGAGTTGGGTGGCTATGTTTTTTTAGTAAAAAAAAAGAAATTCACGCTGGAGCATATTGAAAACACCAGACAGTTTTTAGAAAATCCGCACGCAAATGTGACATTGGTCCCTGCTTTTCCACCTTTTCCTGAATTCAGGTCAGCTGGGCTTATTTATAGTCATGTTTGTTTAAATTTGGATTTTTAGTAGTTGTGCGTATTTACTTGCACTGTGCCCTTCTGAACAAGGATTTGACCACCCACATCTTGCCATCTGATACTTCGTTTCATGTAATCCAGTTATGCAGTCTGGGGGTTTCCTGGACAATATTTTTACACATTACAGGATCTTGACTTGGGTCACGTGTACATTTGTGATGTTTAACTAAACTTTAAAGATCAGTATAGGCTACCAGTAAATGGTATTAAGTTGAGCTAGCTTACTAGGTTTTTTTCTTTACACATTAATACCTAGACAATTGCACAGTAGTACTAAATTAAGCGTTGTGTCTTAACAATTCATAGTTTTTTCTGGTTTATGATTGCATGTGCTTGCAGTAAATATGCATGTCTAATATGTAACGTATTTCTCACACAGTAAATGGGGAGTTTTTTTAGAAGCTTTATTAATGAAATGTACTGTGGTAAAAAGGTCCAATTTAATGTCTAAAAGACTGAAAATTTTCAAGAAAACGTGGCAGATTTTAGCATCATTTAAAGGTGAGCATCTGTACCAAAACTTTGTATATTTAATCATATGTAAATATTTGTTTCCTGTCGCTCTTGTATATACAAATGTGTGTTTTTATACGAAGTAAATTAATCGATTAAGTAAGATCAAAGTTTCAGATAATGTTGTCAGTTCTAATCCTGGAATAGACGGTGGCTGAACAGTGAGTGTACTTCAGAAGACATCTGTGTTAAATTTTGGCTCAAGTAACTGCAGTAGTTCCATTTACCGCCTTTGAACTCACAACTGTTATTAATCTCAGGGCTACAAAGGGCCTAATGTGAGAGAGGACAGGATGTGAGAGGGACTGGAGCTGCGAAGCTGTGGGATGTGTGACTGGGACGGTTTTTCACACAGTGACTTGCTTTTCTAGCTGCTTTGAGTGCACGTGCTCCATGCTGCGTTAAAAATCCCCACCGTGGCTTTCTTCACCAAGATGCACAGATACTCTTTAATCTGAGTGTTCCTAGACTAAGATGAGCCCTGCAAGATTTTGCATGGCTATCAACATGGTATTTGAACGTTTTCTATGTTAATAGGGAGATTCCCTGCTATTCTCTGCGAATAACGATAGGCAAGTGCAGAAAATGGCTAGGAATAGACATATCTCTTTGAAGAGGTCCTGTCAAAAATGGCCAAGGTAGGGCAAATGCCTTAAGAGATAAGGAGGGAGAGCACTCTGGATTAAGACTTAATAAGTGAATTAATGAATTCGCCCTACAGTGCGTGTTAGTGTTAAAGAGATTGCAGGGTGGTTGGTCTGCACAGGATTTGAAGGAAGTGGGAATGGATGCCCTGAGCTAGGGCAGTCGGGCCTGGTTCCATGGCCCTCGTTTCAGCTGCAGCTGGGTGGAAAAGGAAAAGAAACGCATCTGGAAACGCTGGCCAAATAAATCGTGTAAAGGAGGATAAAGATAACAATCAAGATTCCGAGTGCAGCATGTAAACTATGAATTTACAAATCTCTGATGGCTACTTTTGGCCAAGTGGCAATGGAAGGTGTCAGAAGACTTCCCTTTAAATGCAAGTTCTGTGACGAGCTAAACTCAACGTTTGAATGTTCAGCTGTTTTTCAAATGACTATTAAAAATTTCTACAGCAAGCGCTATCTGCGACTAGCCGTGCCTGCGATCTGTTCTTCCCACTGGCAGAAATACATAAAATACTTCATTTTTTCCCCATTCCAGTAGCCTTTTGTCCTTCAGTTAACTTTTCATAGAAATCAGCAGTGTTGTGCAAGACGAGTGTCTAATCAGGCTTCTACTGAAATGTCACAACATCCAAACTTCTTATTTTTAACTTGGGGCGAATTGGTATTGCATCAAGAAATGTCTGGTAGTTTTTCTTTATATAGCCTTTGAATTTTGTAAGACGGCTCAATGGTGGTGGATCCTTGGGAACATTTGCAAACCAAGTTTGAATTTCTTGGCTTTTTGGGGTGAGATGGAACATATCGCCGTTTGTTAGCATGTAGCGTCAGCAATGTGCTTATCGCTTGTGAGGTGGGCCATCCCTACCCAACAAAAACTTGGAAATTGGAGCAGTATCCATGCACACTTTTGTTGGGTGTAGTTTCTGAACAAAGGGGATTACAAACAGCTTGCAGGGAAGCTGCTCTTCCAGAAATCTTCACATGGACACCGATGTCTGGAAGCTTGGGTACGCTGGTGCTCTGAAACCCAGTTCTGGTACGTGCCGTTCTTCAGAAGAGCCACGCTGTGCTAAGCTGCGCTCAGCAGCTCTACTCTGCATGTGTGTAGGCTGCTTCAGTGCAGACAAAAATCACTGATAAACTGCCATTATAAAATGTAAACTCAGCTGACTAGACTGCTTTCTGGGCTTGTTTTCTTTCCCGCATAGAAACGCTCTGCTTTTACTGCTGCATTACCTGGAATTACTGTGTAGGCATTTCTACAGATGTACCAGAGATAGCTTTAATACTAAGCAGAAACTTGTTCCCACAAGCAAATTTTGACTTGTAATTTCCTTTGCCGCTTTGAACAAGAGTAGACTGTATTTAGGCTCAAGAGGACTTGCCCCATACTTGTGGGATCCTGGAAACCTTACTCTACAGCTGCTGGGAGTTGTCCAATGAAGTAGATAATTGTTCAGTACTAATGAATTTTTGGTAAGCTGCTCAGGATTTGATGCTGTTAGATAGCCTGCTTGTGCAGTTGCCATGAACGGCAGCATTGCTCCCGAAAAAACACGAGAGCTTCATGTGAGGCCACTTCAAAGTCCCTCTGTGGAAGGGGGCTTTTTTTTCCCTGCAGATCGCTTTGGAGGGATGTTGAGGTATTTTGTCCGCATGGTTGATGCATTTTATTACAAGAGAATATACCTGTTCCCTGAGCTTATGAAAATATTGACTCCTAGTCCGGTTTATTTCAACTGCGCTTAAGCTACAAAGGCAGCAAGGAGCCCAGCGCTCTCTTTTTAAGCAACTGTCCCAGCTAAGTCTCTGCTCGTGCCCACATCTCTGCTCCTTTTCTTTTACTGCATGATGTGTAGTTAATGCAAGATGGGACCGTTTCGAAGGAGCGGTTGAGAGCAATTCACCCTCTAATCGCTGACCGCCTGGCAGCTAGGGCTGCCTTCCCGGCGATGTTGGTTTGGATCCCCTCAGCTGGAGAACGGCAGTGAACCCACACCTTCTGCCGCCTCCATCAGCACCCCCTTGCTGAGCATCCTGGTGTCGGCATGTTGGGTGGCAGAGGAAGGGAGAAGCAAGACTGCTTTTAAAGAAAATGGGGCTGGGAGCATCCTGTAAGACGCTTGGGAGATGCAGCGCAGTCTGGGGATGCAGGTGAGGTCAGGGCACTTTGGCGAGGGTGCCCATCTGAGCTGTGGGTCGCCGTGGCCATTGGGGTGGGGAAGGCTCACAGGTACTCAGTCCTCTGGGGCCAGAGGAGCTCTGAAACAGTGCAGAAGCAAAGGCGTGGGTAGCCTGGAAGATGGAGAGACAAGCTGCTTTGAGGTGGAACAGCTGGGGAGAAACACTTCCCACCGGGGAAGTCCTGCTCAGGTTTTTCAGTGATGCTGATGGTCCCGGAGCCTACCAGGAAACCTGTGGCAGAGCGCAGACTTCGGTTTGACTTGGGACTCCCAGGCAGCGCGGTTCTCTAGCCGTGAGCGCCAACTGTTAGCCAGATCTTCCTGAAAGGATACTCTGTATTTACTGAGTTTGCAAACTTTGTAACCTCATCTTCATCTAAGCTGGATGACTCAAACTTCTGGGGAAACCAGAAAAATAGGGAAGTGTCAGATTTATTAAGATACCTGGGGCTTTATGAGTGACTGCCCTGCAGTTTGGGGGCACTTAACCCTCCTCGCATGGCCATGCGTTTGCCCCGGTGAGTTTAGCACGGCCAGGAGCGCACACTAGTTAGCGTACACAAAGGCATCTAGAGTGAACGAGGATGATGTTGAAGTGCCTGTCAGCGCAAACACCTTCCCTTCCTGCAGAGCAGAGGGCCAAGATAACGCTTCGATTAAAATGTAAGCAAAGTGTGTGGAGGGGTAAAAGAAATATTGTTCAGTCTGTTAAAATACTCTCGACAGAACAGTCAAACAGAGAGATTTTTGTCTGCAGTAACCGTGTTTTCAGCAGTCCTTGTCTGGCTTCGCCTTTACAAGAAGCCTGTGGCATTTCCTTATTATTTAAAGGAACAGAGCGAGTAGCGAAAGTGAAAATCGCTTTATCCCAGCACCGATGCCGTGCCCTCACGCCCATGAACCCTGGCTGAGCCGGCGGTCACTCCTCTGGAGCTCACGCCGCTGCCGAGGGCCGATGTCGGAGAA